GCAGCCGACTTTTGTGCTTGCAAATCCACGAGGCAAGCAATCGTGCAAACTGATTCAATGACTAAGCAAAGTGTCGTTCGTAGGTTGCGTGCAGGTTGAACATGTGAGTGACAATTTCAGATACGACCAAAAGCACGGATATGATAGCTCTGGACGCACATCAAGTAGTCAGTCATTCCCGGAGTAGGGGCCGCTTTCTGAGCGCAGAAACGCTGCCCAAACAGACGATATCTCTCACCTATCTCTCATGTGTCGAGCACCGGTAATTTTGGAGTAAGATAGTGTATGCTTATGTTACCTGTAAATTTAGGTCGAATCTCGCCTTCGTCTCAATGTCATTAGCACTGCTGAGGTTTGAAATACATGAGCCCCCATTTACTCTCCCTAAAAATTGCCCGTATAAGGTTTTTAAGTCGTTTAGAATAAAATTTCTGACATAAAAACCCTAACAGACGCCCACAGGAAAATCTTGATGGGCGTTTGCTTCAGAATTAACCAGAATTCTGGCACCAGTTCTTATACAGAAAGCTTAAAACATCCATAACGACATGACTACTACGATGTCAAACGTAATGCTAAACTGATGTAGTCTTGATGACAGAGATTATATTAAAAGTCCACGAATCGCAAAAGAATTTCCTGTTACAGAAATTTGAAACATCTCTTCTCTGGTATGAATTTGTTGCAACCAGAAAATATTACGACTGCTCATCAGCTGCTACCTGTCGTTGCATAAAGTTAATAACAAATAAGAAGATAAAACAGGTTGAATTCGTAGAGAAAAATCCATACAAAAAACAGCAAGGTCATGGTTTATTGTCACGTAGGCTAATCAATAGAGTAAGTAACTTAAAACACCCCATGGGAAGCAAACGCGGGGAAAAGTTTAATCAAAAAACAGGGAGAGAAATGTGTAAATCTAGGAGCTGGATGTTCCCAAGAAATATCTAGGTTAAACACGTGCTCCAACTCTACATAGGTCGGGATTCATCCGCCGTATATAAGCCGCCGCCAGTTAGCGTAATGTACGAATTGTTCGCGCCCGAAAATGGACTCGGAAGGATATCTAAAGGACCACAGAGTGACCTGTACCAAGCATATATTTAGTTATGGCTGGGTGTGAAATTCTGTTTTCCTGTTTTAACAGCCATTTGGGCAGATGCTCTATATACCTGGCTGCCAATTTCAGTTGCGTTCGCCCAACGTACTTGCTTCCGAAAGTGCATGCGAAGTCATTGGCATAGTTTGAGTAGACTTGCATTGGCAAGGCATCCTTTACGCGCGGTATTAGGAGAGGCTTGAAGTACTGCAAAATATGAGGTCAGCCGCAGTTTATGTAATGGCAACTATATAGAGAAATAGAAGACGGTAAAGCGTTCTCTGGGACCAGTGGTTTATTTGTCCGACGTTTTGAACTCTCACGAGAGCCCATTGTTAAGGGGTGAAAAAATGTACAGTTCATTGCATATTTAACTGAGCTCTGCCGGGAGTGACCTTGACCTTGACCTCTGCCGTCAATCTGCAATGAGCTGTACATTTTTTTCATTCCTTGATAATTGGCTTGCGTGAGAGTTCGAAACGGCGGACAAATAAGCCACTGGTCCCAAAGAACGCTATACCGTCTTCTATTGAATGTCCTGCGCCTCGCGTATTCTCGACCATTAAGAAAATATAGAAATCGACTGAATAGTAATGGAATGTCCACTTGGTGTGACTTTTGCTGACATCCTTAGGGGCCAGCCAGAACAAATTTTTCTTTAAAATTGAACAGAATAATACGTCAAAAGACATGGGTGGAGGATGATTTTAAGGAAGCTGAAGATTTTCTTTCTATCAGGAATAATTTGTACCCCAATATAAAATTCACGATATAAAAGGAACGGAATAACCATCTTTCCTTCATATAGTTAAACAAGAAGGTTATTGCATAACACGAACAAGCGCAGTACTTGCATTATTGGAATTTTGTTTCCATAAAAATAACTTATTATGCATTCACCTCTAAAGGGCAAGAAACACTTACTCTACTGAGAACCTTAATACATAAATTGCTCGCCTCAAAGCAACCTTGCTCAACCGTTGGGCCACTGCACATTTCATTCAAAAATACAGCAACCCCCCACGGCCAAAATGGACAGAACAGTCAGTTCCAAAAAAGACTATTTGTATACCGTTGCACATAAACGATGACAGCATTTTAAATACCCTAAAGCGACGCCTACGTTACACCACTGAAAAGACATACAATGCAGCTGACCTCACATATTTCAGTCCTAAAACGAATGATAGGAGTCACTCTGTGGACCCTTAGATATCCTTCCGAGTCCATGTTCGGGCACGAACTGTTCGTACATTGCGCTAACTGGCGGCGGCCTATATACAGCGGGTGAATCCCGACTTATGTAAACAGTTACAGTACGTGCTAAACTTAACTTTTTCTTGGGAACGTCGAACTCCTAGATTTGCACATTTCTCTCCCTACTTTTTTGCTTCGTTTTTTTCCCCAATGTTGCTTCCCATAGGGTGTTTTACGTTGCTTACTCTATTGATTAACCTACGCGGCAGTATATCACGATCTTGCTGTTTTTGTACCGATCTTTCTGTACGAATTCAAAAGGTTGTATTCTCTCATTGTCTATTAACGTTATGCAGTGACAGGTAGCAGCTGACTAGCAGTCGTAAACTATTTTGTCTACAATCAATTCTGCGATATTTGCATGCTTTCAAATTTGCTGTTAGTTGTGTGAAGTTTGTGTGAGAGCGGTCCACTGCCCTCCCTGTGCTAGCGCACTCACTCATCGTGTTGGTCTACTCGCTCATATGAGTATCCATGACAGCAAACTTCACCGCGATGCCGACACACCTTTCACATACTGCACACTCATCAAAATCGTATCCCTAGCCGTCTAATCGGCGAGATTAAAACCACCAGCAACAGCAGCAACGGCACCACCAACATCATCTCTGCATTGCCCCCACTGCCACCACATATGCACATCTCGCATCGGCCTGGTCGGTCACTTACGAATCCATCACACGGACTGGTGAACCAGCGTTTGAGGCCCTGTACGACAGTCGCCGCACCCATTTCAACTCTCTGCCTGTTTCATGTACTTTCTCACACCTCATGGGCTTACTAAGTCGGGTGTGCTTCCATGAAAGTCTGCGGTAGAACACCGCCAACTATAACACACTGCCACGTCTCTCCTCACCAGGATCAACATTTCACATGACTACGCCTGACACCACATACCACGTGATTGCAACCGGCGCCTCCCATTTGACAACGAAGGATATTCTTCGGCTCCTTCATACGGCGGCTGTTCTGCTGAATGTGTGAACTGAGCCTGAGACTATCATGGTCTATCTTGGCTTGGAAGGCTGCCAACTGACGCCTTTACCAGACCACGCCATCAGCCAAAGACTACGAGACGGCGCTAAGCACTGTGGTTAAGCAGATTGCCACTTGACAATTATACTCAGATCTTGCAGTCAGTCCAGGATGTGTTTGCGCGGAGCGCCTGACTGGTGATCTTAGAGTCAGGCTGCAATGACCTCTGGCACTCTAATTCATGCAAGATTTGAGCCGTCCCACTCCCATTTGCGTGAAATACTGATGCTTGTGTTTTAGCGGCCAGTTCATGTACGTTTAACGCGTCGATGAAGTCATTAGATATGTTAGCAGCTGCATCCATTCCCCACACCAGTCCACTGGCCGGTTCGAGTGGTGGCTAGAGACCGGCTCAGCGCATTTTTCTTAATATAAAACATCTGATGCACTTGAATTTACCACAACGCGCTAAAATTCGTGAGTGACTGAGTAATTTGTAGTCCGATAACAAATACAAATGGAATATCACCGTGAGAACTTCTTTAGGTTCTGGTTTACTCTGCTAGACCTTGCTTTACCGGGCAAGAAGCGAGTCTACGAAAATATACTACATAAATTTATGTTACAGACTTTCATAGTCTTTTATGACAGCCCGAAGATTGACACAGCTAAGGCACCGGTTAAGTTGAAGAATGCATTTTCACTTACCAGTTTATAAAGTAAGTTTTTGTGGTGGCTCAACTATTGTTTTCGAACAGCAAACTCAAAAATTTAGG